ACAGTGGCTCAGTAATCCCAGCACTTTGGGAGGCCAAGGCAAAAGGACTGCTTGAGCCCAGGAGTTCAAAACTACCCTGGGCAACATGGCGAGACCTCATCTCCACAAAAAGTATTAAAAATTAGCCAGGCTTGTGGTGCACACCTGCAGTCCCAGCTACTTGGGAGGCTGAGATGGAAGAATCACCTGAGCCCAGAAGGTTGAGGTTGCAGTGAGCTGCGATTATGCCACTAAGCTTCAGTCTGGGAGATGAAGTGAAACTCTGGCTCAAAAAAAAAAAGCAGAAGGAGAAGAAGGAACTAGAAAAATCTCTAAAAGAAAATCTAAAATCTCTAAAGTGTGTTAGAAGATCTTCCATATGAAATGCAAGAGGATTTCAGAAAACCTATGACATTAGTGACCAGGGAGATAAGAGGCCATTTTGGTTACCAAACCAGACAGACCAACTTATAGTAGATCAAGTACTTGCTGAAGTCAGTATAGAGTAAAACATATGCTTAATGACACTAGAGGTAAGCATCGCAGAACCTATAAACTAGGTACATTAAACGAACCCAGAGACAAAGAATGCCAGGTTATAATGGCAGCTTCAGTGCCCAGCACATCTTCTACCTGCCAAGTTCTGTGATGTGGCATTGTCCCCACTTCAGAGAGAAGAAAACTGGGACTCAGAAGGCTAAGGAACTCATAAGTAGGGCTGATATTCCAGTTGTTTGTGGTTGGCATCACTTCTGATTGGTCTGGCATGTTTTGATTGGTCAGTGCCTATGCCATTTATTAAGTACTTTTAATATCCCCCCACCTGAAAATAAAATACAACATATCAGACAGGGAAGATGACCCACTGAGGCATGATTGGGGGCAAGGAGAGGAGTCCTTGAAGGAAAGCAAATGAAGCCTATGCAGAGAAAGGATAAATGATTAAAGTCATTGCTTCCCTTTCTGCTGGGGCTATCATCATTTTGGGGGGCTTGGGTGGAAAATGTATCTCAACCTCAATTTCATAAAATCTCCCTTCCAAGCCACTATGGGCTCAGCACCCCATGGCTGTTCCTTTTTTGGTGAGCACTTTCTCACTTTCACTTCGCCCAATAGCTCCCAAACCAGATTCATAACAGCAGCTGGCCTCTCTCCTCTCCTTTCCTAAAGATGAAACTGTTGGAATAAATCAGAAAGTTTCAAGATGCTCTACATTTTGGTAAATGAAGCTTCTATCTAATACACAGATTTTAAAGTCTCTGTACTGATTTGTGACCTTCTGGGTCACCATGCAGAGAAGTAAGCTGCTGTAGACTGCCGGTACAAAACCACTTCTGTTCCTCCCCTCTTTGATCTCCAGCGAGAGTTCCTTCACTTTGATTCCCACCCCTTGTGTGTACAGAACTCCACATACCTCTGCTTCCCTTATGACCGACTTTATTTCCTTTGAACATGGCAACTTCTCCATAAGCCGTAAGTCCCATTCCATGAAAGTGGTGTTACTATCACAACTGAATTGATCTCCTCATGTTAAAATCAGGTTCACTTTGGTAACCACTTTGGTCTATACTCAGCTATCTGGAGTCCTATTTTATGCCAATCCTCTGACTCAACAAATTTTGAACACCCTATTTCATACCTGATGTCAACAACAAGTAACTACTAGTTTCAGGGGTTTTTTTTCCTGGCAATTTTCTCTGCTAATTCACTTCCATTTTTAATTTAAAGTCTTGTTTATTTAGCTAATAAACAAATATTTATTGCTATCTGCCATATGCTAGGCAATAAGGGTGTCTCTGAGGATCCCTTAATGAGCAAAACCATTGGTCAGAAACCTTCTGCTTCTACTAACAGCAGAGTAGCTCTTCTTGGACTAAACTTCCCACATAAAACTATTATGAACTCTTGAAAGAAAAAAAAACTATCAGAAGACACTAAATTTGCTCAATCATGAGGAGGCAGAAAGTAGAGGGCTGTCAACACTTGAAAGAACAAAATAGCACTAGTCGCCTAGACTTTTGAGTTTTTATAGTTTTTTACCTGAGGGAAGCCCTCAGTCGATGCTATACTTGGTGGATAAAACTTGGTTAGAAAACTTCTCTCCTACTATTTGAGGAATTAGAGAACAGAGGTCAGATAACCACTGCTGGAAAGGGAAGAGAGATATCGCGAAACAAAATCAGAGTGTCACAGAATAATAGCCCCAAATTCTGAATATTACTGTGCCCAAATCTCCCTGAATAATGTATGTACAGGGCAGACTTTAAGCAGTTTAACAAAAGCTAAAAGAACTGAACAAAAATTTCAGATGTTGCCCACCCAAGAGAGACTGACACTGGAGTTCAAGTTGGTCAAGTTAACCATCTGGTTTTTTTTTTAAGAAAATCAATACATTAGAAACACAATAGAATCCAGAGACTATTCAAGTTTCATTCATAAAATTCAAAATGTAATAAAAAGTTACTAGACAAATTTTTAAAAAGCAACAAGAAAATGTGACCCAAACTCAAGAAAAAAGGCATTCAATCAAGACCAATCTCAAGATGACCTAGGTGTTGGAATTAACAGATAAGAATTTAAAGCAGGTCACACAACTTTACTCAAGGATTTAAAGGTAATTATGCTTGTAATAAATGAACAGATAGGAAATCTTAGCTAAAACATAGAAATGACAAAGAAAAGAACCAAAACTACTAATCAGTTCAGCTAAATTCTGACACCTTCATCTGCATCCATGTGAGTTGTACTTCTCACTAGAGACAGTTACAAAATTCTGATATTTATTTCAATGACCATTTTTTAGTACCTTCCAAGTGCCAGGTCCTGGGCAGGCTTTGGGGAGCAAAAAAGGGACACAAAATCATAAACTCTGATCCCAAAAACTAGATCTTTTCCTCTGACAAAATCTGTATAGTCACTTCTTTATACTATTCACTTCTCATGTTTTCCCATCTCTTTTAGGTCTTAAGTTATAAAAGAGAGTGAAGGCTTGCTGTGGCCTCTTTCCAGAGCTGCATGGTGCTTCAAGTTAGTTTCCAGGTCACTCCTGATGGAGCCATTTGCCCCACACCAAGCACACAGAGATGAGGGGCAGGCTGTCAGGTCTGATACACCTGAACATTCTTCCTCCACTGCAAAAATGTCCTCCACTGGCCAACCAGCCAGGTCAGTTATATAAAAAAACTCTGGGTACAGACACCACAGGGAGTCAACAGGGAGGCACTCACCATTATAAAACCTCTCTCCCCAGTTCCACTTTGCTTTTTCAAAAGCCTGCTAGGAAAGAGATTCTCAAACTTGGCATTGGAATTATTTTGCGTGAAATACTGGGAATATACATTAAGGTCACTAGAAATGGGCATTTTTTTTAAAAGGACAGAAAATGCCAACTGTTGGCAAGAATTCTCATAATGCTGAGTGGAAATATAAATTGATACAACCACTTTTTTTTTTTTTTTTTGAGTTGGAGTCTCACTCTGTCTCCCAGACTGGAGTGCAGTGGCACACTCCTGGCCACTGCAGCCTCAACCTTCTGGGCTCTGGCGATCTTTCCATCTCAGTCTTCCAAGTAGCCAGAACTACAGGTGCGCACTACCACACCCAGCTATTTTTTTTTTTAATGTATTGTAGAGACGAGGTCTCACCAAGTTGCCCAGGTGGGTACAACCACTTTTTTAAACTTCTCAGCAATATCTTGCAAAGTTGAGCATATACATGCCCTATAATCCAGTAATTTCATTCCTAGAATTATACCCAACAGAAATTTCTGTAGACATTCACTAAAAGGCATTCACGGGAATGTTAACAGTACTATTTGTAATGGACCTGAAGCATAAACAAGTCAGAATGACCACCAACAGCAGTTTGGGGGGAAAATGATATATTCACACAACGGAACATTGTACAGCAATGAAAATGAACAATATGCAATGATACACAAGGATGTGGATGACTCTCACAATGCTAACTAAAATAAGCCAAACACACACAAAAAGGTATACTAGGTAGTTCCATTTTTGTAAAATTTTACTACAGGCAAAACTACTCTATGCAGTTTCAAGGTGGGGGTGGCTGGAAAGAGACATGAGGGGGCTTCTATTGTGCTGGCGACATTCTGTGTCTTGAGCAGGGGTGGGCTATGAGGGCATGTTCCATTTGTAAAAAATTCATTCACTTACGATTTATTCATTTTTCTGTATTTGTTTTTCCATAAAACATCATTAAAATAAAAAATAAAAACACTGATGTCTGGGTCCCACCTCAACAGATTCTGGTTTAATTGGTCTGGAGTACAGCCAGGAATTGAAATTTTTAAAAGCTCCCCAGGTGGGTCTAATATGCATCCAAGAACCCCTGTGTCAGAACTTGGCCAGTCTCCTTACTATTTCTTGGAGCAGAAAGTGCTGCTGCTTCTCTAGAAAGTCTAAAAGCAGGATGTTTTTGGGAGAACACAAGCAGCACTAGAGGATGTTAATAGGCATTACATGGGAAAAAGGCTTCCAGGGTTGATAGGTAACTTTTTTTTTTGAGATGGGGGTCTCACTATGCTGTCCAGGTCGGTCTCGAATTCCTGGGCTCAAGCAATCCTCCAGCCTCGATATCCCAAGTAGCTGGGATTACAGGTGCGAGACACCTTGCCTGGCTAGTAATATATATCTTTATTACAATCTCCAACTATTATTGAACTTTCAGTACATTCCTAGAGCTGAGCTGAGTGCTTTAGCTACACTAACTCACTTGATTCTTACAAGTCTATGAGAAAGGTAGTATCGATCCCCATTTTACAGAAGAGTAAACTAAAGTTCGGTGAGGTTAAATAATTGCCCAACATCCCACAACCAGTAAGCAACAGGGCTAGGATTCAAATCCAGATTGACTTTGACATTGAAGCCAATGTTCTTGACCACTATTCTAAACTATCTCACAACTAGGAAGTGGCAGGGCTACGATGTGAATGTATTATAGATAGATTTATCTATACATTATCACAGTCCATGAAGTTTTCACTCCATCATACTTACCACCTCACAGTCACGCATGCTGCTCGATGGGTGGCAATACTCTTCTTTCTCTACACCTGGCAAACTCCTCTTGTTCTTTGAGAGGCTGCTCAAGTACTGTGATGACAACATCTATCATCTCTTAAGTGCTTTCCAGGCACCATGTTCAGCACTTGCCTTGCCTCATCTCATTTAGACAATATTGTCTCAGATGATCATACCCCTTTCTAAAGGGACCTATTCTTCTTGGGCAGGAGGTCCATTTACAAGTCACTCACTCATTCACTGAACACCCATGCTATGCGTCTCCTCCCCCAGGGCCTGTTCACAGCACACCTGCTGGTAACCCCTGGGGTAAATAGCCTATTCATGCTACCCACATCCAACCTCTGTGAGCTCCAAGGTTGCAAATTTGTAAAGCCCGCCCCCTGCTCCCATGCTCCCACTCTTTCTGGACTAATGTGCAGGTCTACCCAGGTATGAGAGAGCAGGAATCGGTGCCAGCTGCAAACTCAGCTGGGTTTCTACACAGGCTCCCTCAAACATGTCCTATTAGTAAACTTGGAAACCAAAGAGACAATAGTAAGATTACTCAACCCTTCCTAACTTCCCACCCCTTCTGCTAACCCCACTCAGGGTAAGCAGCATGACTTCTCTGCTTCTAATCAAGTTGTTTTCTTTTGAGAATTTCAAGTGCCCCACCCCACTCTGGGGCATAGTGCATACTGTATTCTATGAATTCATTTGTAATATTCATGAAGATAGAGCTTATCGAATAAAAGTTAGCTAAGCTTATGTATTCCTCTAGCACAACTTTGACCCTTGCTGTTTTTTGCTCTCGTTTCATTTGTCCAAGTGTGTGCCAGTTCCAGGAGACAGGATCAACCTAAGGGCAGAGACTGGTTTCATTTAATTTTATATCTTTAATTGCAAGCATAAGGCCAAGTAAAATGTAGTCGCTGAATAGTTAACAATCATTATGGAGACATAGCCAAAGGGTCATAAAATCTGAAAATTACTGCAGAACCTGACACAGAAATGTTCTTTCTATTTTATACCTATCAGACTGGCAAAAATGAAAGTCACTTAATACTCAGTGCTGGAGAAGGGGTGGGGAAACAGTCATCCACACTGTTGAGGAAACAGAAATTGGTTCAACCTCTTGGGAGGACAATCTGCAATGTCTATCATAGTTCAAACTGCCAGGAATTTTCCTTATGAAAAAAAATCATATTAGTGTACAAAGATATATACTGTAGCAAGAGGAATATTGTAACATGATACATTTGTAATAGGGAAAAAACTGGAAACAATCTTAGCCATCATCAAGGAACTAGAAAATAAATTATGGTAATTTTTATCACTGGAATATCACATAGCCTTAAAGACCCAGGTATATCTATTTGTTGGCATATCGTCAGATAAATTAGCTGAAAATAAAATTTCAGGAGTGTGTACAGATATGTTAAAATGAGAAACACGTAAATGAATATGGGTTTGTATATGCATAAGAAATTTATGAAAGATACATAAAACATTCAGAGACATTGTCTGGGGAAAAGAGATGGGTAGCTGGGAAAACGGTTGGGATGACTTTACTTATGATGTATTTGTATTATTTTTATGATTAAAAAGCATAAAATACATCAATAGGAAAACAAAAGCTGAATTTTATATGTAAAAGAAAAACAATGAATGACACTTTGGTGAAAACCTTCCCTGTCTCTTTATAAGGCAATAGGTAATGTTTATAAGGCAACATATCCTCTCTGTCCAGTCTATGGGAGAGCCAAGCATGGCAACAGTTCCAGAAAGGAACCTAGAGACAGAGAAAGTCACCAAAAAGGACCAAGGGCCCTCAAGAGAATACGTGTCAGAGTGTGCATCTTTTGATTGGTCTTAGATGACAGAAAAGAAAGCCAGTTCTGATTGAGACTCTGAACCAGGACATTCCGAGAACTCACCAGGCTGGCACAGACACCAGGGCCTTTCACCAGGGCCAAGAAGCAAAGTCTAGGGATGCCCAGGTGGGTAATGGCCATAAGTAACCTAGTGAGCAAAACAAATGACCAGTCCCTAGGGACATAATGATATAGTGCTCTGCTTACCTATCCCCTCAGCCTCTGACTACTCCCAGGGCTGACCTGAATGGTAAGAATGCAGCAAGAATAGTTGATATATGCATCACGTATATCCTATCTGCCAATGACATAATCACAACATCTTATACTCTTATTACACCTATTTTGCACATGGGGAAATTGGAAATCAGCAAATGCAAGCAACTTAATCAGGGTTGCAGTGAGTGGTGAAGTGGGACTCAAACCCAGGTCTGGCTCCAAAGCCAGCTAAGGTCACTGCTCGCCTTCCCCAAAGCCCCAAGGGAAGGATGTCAAAAAGGTACTCCCTCATAGTAGGGACAGTCACATGAAGAGAAGACAGCATTTTTATGCAAAGAAAAGGCCAGAGAGTGTAACAACGAAGTGCAAGGATTTTGAAGCTAGATGTCCTGGATTCCATCCTGACTCAGCCATTTACTGACTGTGTGACCTTGGGCAAGTCATTGAACCCTTCTGTGCCTCACTTTCCTAAGCAGTAAAGTTAGGATAGTAATAACGTCACCCCTTAGAGTCACTAGGAGGACTAGATGAGTTAAATTGACAGAATCTACCTCCAAAAAAGCACCAGATGATTATTATTAATATTAAGAAAAAGGTGGCTTCTCTCCAAGAAGATGCACCCCTGCAGAGTGCAGAGCTTGGCATGTGGAGTGCAGCTAGGTTTCACTCCCTCTCTTAGTGAGGGCTACTGTGCCCATCAGCAGTACACAACTCCACAACCTTGCATGGGTCCTGCTGAGTAATTAACCTGCACGCACTGGCAGTTCTTTCTCCCATCTTCCCTTCCAGCAGCCTGGCTGTAAATCAGAATCACCTGGCACACTTCTTAAAACTATAGATTCCCAAGGCCTGCTGGCTGATTCTGACACAGGTGGGCTGGGCTAGGGTCCAGGTGACCTATGACCCAGGAACAGTGAGTTCCTGGACACATGCTTTTGGAAGCACTCGAAACCTACCACACCTTGTTCTGCCTGTTTGAGTCGCTCCTGAAGACCAAGAGCCCTGTCTGTCACTTCTAGTCCTGGGCCTGGGCACACAGAGAAGGGGTACAGTAAACACCTGTGCCTCTACAAGTAAGCCAGCAGAGCAGATGGCCATACCAACAGGTACAACAGGCTGCATTGGCTTTTGTGCTTGAGGGGGTTACACAAGGGAACCCTCACCTGTAGATTTGGGGTTCCCCTAGACCCTTGCTGCTCAAAGCACAGTTCACAGACCAATAGAATGTCACCCCTGGGAGCTTGGTGGAAACGCAGAAGCTCAGGCCCCAGCCCCACTGAATCAGATTCTGCATTTTAACAGGAACTCAAAGGTGATTCATGTTCAAGATTGAGGCATATGCCCAATGATCCCTTCCCCCATCCAAGTAGGTTCTAACTAACGTGCACATCTAACTTGTCCAAACACCTTACAGGGCCAATCTCTTCCTTCAAACTCCTGCAGAGACCCGGAAATACAACGTGGTCCTTTCAACAGCCCAGACTCATGCTCAGCAGCCAGACTAAGACTTGGGGGCAAACCTTCACTTTAATGGGTTGTTTATTTCAAAGCCCCCATTGAAATAAACCTTCCCAATAAATTGAAAAAGAGACACCTCTGGCCTCTGTAATTTCAGAGCATAAAACACTCCCTTCTTTTGTGCAGAATTGAGACCCCAGCTTCCCTGCCTAAAGCCATCCAGAAACATCAAACGACCCAAAGAAAACAAGCGATGTCTTCCTGTTGGCCAACCTTCAAGTTATCAGGCAGATTTCACACTGCAGCTTGACCTCATTAATCCAAAGCCTATCACATTGCTGTAAATGTCAATGGAAAATAGCCATTCAGTGGGTTTCCTTCATTCCACCAGAAAGGGACAAAACAGGAAGCTGACAGCAGCTGTGCCCCAGCTTGGCAAATCCCAAGGGTCCAGCTGACAGCACCTCCATTTCCCTGCCACAGCCCACTTTCCAGAGAAAGGCGGGTCCTTTATCTACATGAGCAAAATGCAGTGGTGATTGCAGAAATAATTCAGATAATTTGGGCCCCCAAGCACCTGCTTGGGAAGAAAAGCAGACAGCTTGGTCTGGATCTATTTGGCCTGAATTACCAATTGGTTATTCATCATTCAAGTTCATCTAAATCTCTTCTGCCCATTCAAAATGTTCCACAAGCCAAACCGCTGGGACTCCAGGGTACATAAGGCCTTCCAAATCTTCATTCATTACTTTAATGCATATTGATTGTCTCCCATGTGCTGGACATCACGCTGGCCAACTGGGGACACAGAGCTGAATGAATTAGACACAGCCACTGACCTTACAGAGCTCACAGTCCACAGCAGTGTCTCTCAACCTTGGCACTGTTGACATTTGGGACCAGATGATTTGTTTGTTGTGGGGGCTATGCTGCGCACTGTAGGATCCCAAGTGGCATCCCTAGTCTCTACCCATGAGTAGTCCCCTTCCCCCACTGTCCACCTCCAAGCTCTGACAACCAAAAAGTGTCTCTAGACATTGCCAAATATCCCTGCCAAATTGAGAACCACAGGTCTAGTGGATGAGACCAAAGACTAAGAGTAATGATCACAAATAATGATATAATTATGGCAAGTAACATGGAGGAAAATTTGGTGGCTATTATATCAATATTATCTATAATTTGGAAGCCAGGTATGTTATATGTGATTACAGGTCCTTATGATAATTCTGAATTGTTTGTATGTGTATTATAGATTTGTGTGTGTGTGTGTGTGTGTGTGTGTGTGTGTGTGTGTGTGTGTAGGCTGGGTGCAGTGGCTCATGCCTGTAATCTCTACACTTTGGAAGGCCAAGGTGGGAGTATTGCCTGAGTCCACAAGTCCAAGACCAGCCTGGATAACATGGCAAGACCTCATCTCTACAATAAATTTAAAAATTGGTGGGGTGTGGTGGCATGTCCCTGTAGTTCCAGCTACTTGGAAGACTGAGGCACAAGGATTGCCTGAGCCCAGCAGGTTGAGTCTGTGGTAGCCATAATTGTGCCACTACACTCCAGCCTGGGCAAGAGTGAGACTCCAACTCAAAAGAAAAAAAAAAAATATATATATATATATTTATAAAATAAGTGTGCATATATGTGTGGGTATATAGATTAGATATACAGAAGACAGATGATAGATA